ATAATATAATATAATTAAAATATATGTATTATATGTTTAAAATTCAACTTTATATGCATTTAATATTTTTTATACTTCAAATCAATTGTTTGAATAAAAGTGATGAAGTCAAAAGTTACATTTTAAACTTTTTCAAAATTATATAATAAGCTGATATTGGAAGCTTCAGAGTGGAAAGAGAAAAAATTCTGAAATTAATTACACTTGTTAAAATTTAGGTCATAATTTTGTATAATTAAAAGTATTAATATAAAAATGAAAAATTCTCTTGTTAAATTAAAAAGTTTCACTATATTTCTGATAAGTGTATAGATAAAAAGCACTTAAAATTTATAAAAAAAATTTTTCTGAAAAGAGCAATTTCAGTTAGTTTCTAAAGAGAAATTAAAGTTATTTTTAATTTTTATTTTAAATCATGTATGAAATAAAATAAATTGAAATTAAACAGAAATAATTTTCAAAATAAAAAATATATGAAGAATAAAAAATTATCAAAAAGCAAGTATAATGATAAAAGATGAATTACTTAAAATTTATAAATTTAACTACAGTAATAAAACAAATTCAATCAAGAATTTTTATATTACATAAAATGGTGGATGACTTTTTATTTAATATAATCTAATAAATAATGACTTTAATCAAAAGACATTTTTTCAGCTATTTATTCCATTAAATAAATCAATAGTTTCTTTTATCTACCATTCTATTTGTTACAGATCATTATATTAATTTTTTATTTTATTTTTTAAAGTATTTTATATTTAGAATTATATTGAGTAAAGCATTGGTTATGTAAATTTTAAATGCTTGTTTTATGAAAAACTTAACAGTTCAATATTCATGGCAATTAAATTATTTGAATGTTTTAAATATCTTTAAAAGATTTGGTAAAATGGAACATTTTATGAATTGAACATTGTATTAATGTTAAAAATGTTCAGAACATTAAAAAAATTTTTCTATTATGTAAAGAACTTTCATAGAGGTTTTATAAGTGAGAAACATTAAAATTATACTAAAATGCTATTCTGAATACAGTAGAAGCTTATTAATCTTATACCTGATAATCTGAAATTGTATGATGATAATTTGACATGCTAATATATACAAATTTGAATTTGTTTGGACACACGGTGGTGCTAAAGATCCTAGCAGAAATACAGTACATATCTGGAAAGCAAATAAATATATGAATATGAATGACTGTAAATATTGATTCTGTGCAATAACATGCTTAATGTTTTTTGCAAGGACATTTGCAAAAGCAGTAATGACCATATTATTGCTCAAAATTAACAACCACCATATAGTCATGCAGTGTATCATCTTCAGACTGATTAAAGAGGTTGTGTAAACAAATTGGAAGCATGCAACTAATCACTCTGTTAAACAACTTGTGAAATATTGGAGAAACTGCTGAATGCAGCATTTGATATTTGCAGACATTCCATCTTGAAAGTGGTTGACTCAAGGTATTGTTGTTTTTTCAGTTGAGGTATGACAAAAGTGTTGAGCATCACTTGGGTCACAGCATTGCCATTGCTTTATAAAACAGTTAACAAGAAATGTTCATACTGGCAAGATAATGGCCATTTTAACTGATAAGAATGTCATTCATCAATTGTGGCCACTTTTATATCTAGAACTTGGCTGCTGCACATATACTTATCCAAAGGAACTGCTTTTGCATCCCTTCCTAAATGTGCCATAATGATGGAATTTGGCAAATATTTTTTATGGAAATAGCATCTGCATGTCCTGCAATGTCACTATACCATTCCAGATTTGGTTGCATTTGGACTGCTAATTATCTTTCCAGACTAGACAGTATTGATGGTGTACATTTCTTATCATTGATTAATATCTTATTTAAAATATTTCATCTGTAGTAATAGACTATTAAATAATTGAAATAACAATATAACTTTCTATTATAACACTAACATATTTCATTAAAAAGAATATAAAAACAGATTACTACTATCAATACTTTTCTTTATATCATATTTTAAACATTTTCAACATCAAATAAGTATAAGAAAATCAAAAGTTAATGTTTATATAATTAATATACTGTATACTATATAAATTTATTATACATTAATACAAGTATTACAGGTTTTCCTGGAAATCTTGTATTTTTATAATATTATAATTTATTTTTTATACATATTAAACTATTATTATTATTTTAATTTATAAATACATATATACTTAAATAGATTTGAATTTTTTCAGCAACCTGATGGTACATCAAGTAGAGATTTCAAAACAACTAAAAGCAAAGAACAAGTATCTTCTGCTATAGAAATATTTACTAACGGATATCCACATGCATTGGTAATTAATAATCAAAAGCTTCATGATAATAAATTAATAGTAATAAATAGATATAGTAAACAGTTATTCTGTGGAACTTATAAGTTAAATGTTTTTGCACATAAATTTAAGTATGGCCATTAATATTAAATTAATATTACAAAGTTGGCAATACATGAAGCAATTTGTAAAATATAATTTGAAATGAAAGAAATTTAAATATGTTTCTGTTGAAAATAAGTTACATCAATATAGAATTAACACAAATTCAAGAAATTGTTACAAGAGGTTAAAATAATAAAATGTTCACAACATAATTTTAACAATATTTTCTTGCAGATATAGAATATAGTGATTTATAAAAAAAATTCTAATTTATCAAAGATTCTGTAAAAGTTAAGTCTGTTTCCAAGAATTTAAATTAGGAACTAAAAAAGAAGTATTGAAACTATCTCTCTCTTTCTCAGCAATATTAATTATAATATATGAACACACCTGAATGCCGAAGTATTGAATTTTTGTACAAAATTTTCTTTTAAAAAAAAATTATTATTGGGATATTTATGTAATTTTAAAATTTTATATTTATAAATTTGAAATTGTTAAATATGTTTCTGATACTGTAATACTGTTTTAATCTAAAATTAAACAGAGATAATATACAGTTTTATATATCCACAGACAATTTGTAATATAGAATTATAAAAGTGTAGTTATTTTCTAAAATTTATCACTATCTTTAAACTGGAGTGCAAAACAAAAATACCATTCATTTTATTTCTATTCTTTTTATTCTTTAAATAAATTGAGTATTTAATAATTATAATGACTATTTTTTAAGGAGACTTTAAGATAGCCATTATTATTATTTCGTATTTTATTTTAATCTTATATAAAAAATTATGTAGTTTTTGATTTCTTCCAAATATAAAAAAATTTAAGTGACTTCAATATTTAAATCCATGCTAATGTTAATAAATTTTGTAATTTTTTCACTTGTTACAAACAATATAAAGAAATGGACTTCAAGCTTTCAATATATGAGGAACATTACTCACAAAAATTTAATTTTTGAGGAATCCACATTTAAAATGATAATTAAATACAATTATAGTAAATTATAACTTTTTAAAATTATTTATTTCTAAACATATTACAATATGTTTTATTTCAAATCATATTTCATAAAATTCATTTTTAGTTGTATCTTAAGTAATCAAATTATGTTCTAAGAATAATTTTATTTCCAGACAATGTATCTTCAGAGGTTAAAATCTATATATTCTACACTTGAAACATCTGAATTTTTTCTGACACATGAAGTAAGTGTTTTTTGAAAATATTTACCAGTATATGTAATAATTTTCTCTGTTACTTTACTATAATCTATATGTATATAGAATTTGAATAAAAATAAGAAATGTTGATATTTAATAATATAAATAATTTTATACATAAACAATAACACTTTGATTATAAAAAAATCACAAATGGATCAATTTCAATGAAGTTTCAAGCAGATTAAAACATTATTATTAATGTATTTTATTACTAGTAAAATATTGCAATAAATTGTTTTTATTCAAATTCTATACTCTCTATTCATTTCCAATAGTTACTAAGTATTTAGAAGTTTTAATAATAAGAAGCAGTATTTTGAAAAAAAAAATGATTTTACTATTTAAAAAAATCATTGTATTTAATGTAAAATAATAATTTGTAACTAAGAGCTATTTCTGGTAATTGATATCAGTAATTATGATTTATTTTTCTATTACTATTTTTACATTATTAGCCTGAGATAAAAGAAAATATTTTGATTTTTTATAAATGCATTATCAAGAAAAATTTTTGTTACAAATTATATTATTTTCTAAATATTTTTAATTAAACATATATATATTTCATAAACTGATGATATTTACTTTTTTTTTTTATAGTTTATTGGAAGTTCTTTGCTATTTGTTCATGATAAGCACAAGGCTAACATTTGGCTAATAGATTTTGCTAAAACATGGCCCCTTCCAGAAGGTGTGCATGTATCTCATTGCAAATATTGGAACGTTGGAAATCATGAAGATGGTTATTTAATTGGTTTGAAGAATTTAATCAACATATTTCAAGAATTAATAGGCAGAAAAAATGAAAAGAAATTTGAACTATTAAATGAAGAAAAGAAATCTTTGTAATATAAGTGTCATATTACAATATTTTATACAGTATATCTAGATAACAATTTATGCAATATTCCAAAGTTAAATACAGTAATAATAAGCACAGATGAATCTTTTTTTTATATTCTTTACAAATTATAGTTAAACAATTTTATAATATTACCTTCATAATAGTTAGCATATTGTTAAATTTAACAAAATGTACAAAGTTATCATCAGCCAGTAAGGAGTCATCCTTACTATGAGGGATCAGAGTTCAAGCCCAATCCAAACACTATAATTTATCACATATGAAGATGTTCCTCATTTCTTACTCATGCTGGATGACTTTATTGTAGATCAGGCCCATCTAAAATCGATACAATTTCAGCTGGTCATTAATCCTAAAACATTAATGCCTCATAACTAATCCATCATGAAAAGTTGTCAGATTATGAAATCTAAGGAATATTTTTGTCAATAATACTTCAAAAATTCCACATGTAAATTTATCAGAAACTTTTTTTTATTGGAATTATATACAATTAAAATTTTATAGTTGTACTCAGTCAAATTTTGAACATATTTTTATACTCTGCCATTAATTAATAATAATAAATTATTACAAACTAAAATCATTTCATAAAATGTTATGCTATTATTCATTACATGTTAATTAAAGAGTAATCAGTTTTAAGGCAGGAATTATTTTTTTCTTTATTTCTAAACACTTTTGAAATCCATTCATTTTGTGTTCAGAAGAATGCAATATCTTTACAATTAGCATTCCAATTCTCAAAAACATTTAAGGAAAAACAAAATGAAAAAAATGTTACTCAAAGTTGAATTATTCTTTAAATGTTTAAAATTGTATTCTATATACATTTTAAACCTTTGTAAAATGTATATAGAATTATAGTTTAAATCCAAATGTAAGTTGTTGCATCATTCCTTGGGACCAATAATAAGAAATTTTAATTTATCTCTTTTAATTTTACATATTTTACTTTCTGATCTAAATACTTTCTTATAAAAAGTACAAAATTTAACCTGTTTTAATGATTCTGTTGGCTAAACATACTTAATATATCATTTCTATCTTTATTTTAACAAAAACTTTTTTATGATTGGAAATTATTTTAAAAAACCTGATGGGAATAAAATTTAAATTATAATGCATTACTAGAAACTTTGAATTCAGATCTGTTAATTACAATAAGAATATAATTGCCAATGTTATTAAATGTTATTGCAGATTATTGGAAAACATTCCAACAAAATGAAAATTTTATATTTAGAATTTATTTCTTAACTGGTTTTAACTTCCATATATAACTATTTCTTAATAAAAACTAATTTGGTAAGATATTCTTGTCCTTAATCAGTGTTTACTGATTAATCTTCCAGAAACTATAAAACTTGATTCATTATTTTGAATATTTTAAAATTTTAATGATTATTATTTTAATTATAAAATAAGATATACTATTTGATTCTGTTGCAATGTATAATAATAATATATAACAATGGAGTACAACATAATCCAAGTGATTTTTAAGCTTTATGTACATCAGGATAATTACTGGCATTTTGCCTATTCTAGTCTAGTTTGTGTCTGTTAAATATATTTATTTGATGTAAAATTAGTAAGATAAGCAAATTTCTCAGAGTTTGTGAATTTCTATGCTTTGAGATATAAGAATGATCTTTCAGACTAATGCAAACTATTACACTATCAACCAATTTAAATTTAATTTAGCTGTGCCATTTAATTTTAGTTGATATATCATCATCTTGGTGCTGTTTTTCACTGCAATTATAATTCTTTTTCAATAATAATTGTTGATGACATTGTATATTATTGCTATTCAGTAAAATAAATGTATACATATTATTCATGGTTCTGTGAAATGAATCACCATATTGTACTTTCTTAGAACCATAACTGTACTGTACATGATTTCTGAATTTGAAGCTAATAGTAAATATTTACTGTCTTCAAACTCAAGAAATTTAAGGAGTTTATGTATATATATATATATGTTTTTTTTTTAATTTTAAAGTATGGATGGCAACGTGGTCAAACCGCCATTGGTACACGAACTTTTTCACGTTGTAATTTCTGTACTACGTAAAATAATTGTTTCTTTTCATTAAAAATACTTCAAAATGGCTAATTACGATGGTCATGTTGCCAAAAGACAAAAGACAGATGGCGATAATAGAGTAAGTATTATGTAAATTACTAATAAGCATAGGATAACACGTATTAGCTAAGGTCGAATTCAACTAAATGCCGGTATATGGTTTATTCATGTCCATGTCTTACATGTGTATATTTATTTTTGTACATGTGTGTATGTAATATTATTTATATTTACACGCGCTATTTATGATTAAAACAATTTCAACATACATCGATAGTTTTTCAATTGTTGGTATGAAATAATTGGTAATTGATCATAAGTGTAAGCTGAAAACTTCTAGAGTAAACCAAGGAAAAACATTCATTCATTCTTTCTTTGGTTTACACTTAACAAACAGATGAAAAGATCTATTTAGAGATTCTCAATACAATGTTTAAATCGTCAATAGGTTTTCAATAGGCAAATATTGTTTGTCGTAGTTTTTATATTTTAGCATTTACAATGGAAGTATCTGTGTATTTTTCTCATGTTTTTATTTTATTTAATTATTAATACTACACTAGATTTAAAAGTTTTTATTTTCTCAATTACAGAATTTTATTGATTCAAAAAGATTTACCTTATTTACTCGCATATAAGACAAGGTTTTTATTCATTTATCACAGCTTCAAATTCCTAGGTCGTCCTATACATGCAAGCAAAAGATTCTTTGCATTTTTGCAAATATTTTTTGTGAACCGTGTATTCAGATTTTTTACCAGATGCTTACCCTCATGTATTTAAAAACATAAGTATTTTTTGGATTGTTCTTGTATATTGTCAGAAGTAATGATGAATAGCAATAGGAAAAGCAAAGCTTTTGAATTGAATTCCAGATTGAAATTCCAAAATCACACGGGAGCATGATATAAGTTTTAATTCATTCCCATGTGAAAACAGATGATTATTTGGAGATCAGAATTCAGAGAAACTTGTAAGTGTAATCAACAGAGAGTGGATTCGACTGTTAAGAATTGGCAAAAAAGGTTCTAGATTGTCCAGCTTTATATGAACAAATTATATTGTCGATTTTACAAGATTTTTTTTAAAGTTTAAAATAACAGTACTTTTTGTGGGACAATGTATGCATTTACATGCATTTGATATTTTACTTGTGATTAAATGAAATAAAATTAGAATTGTATTAATAAATCTAATTTTCTTTATTTTGATCTTTAAAGTCGCATCTTGTCCTATATAAAAGGTCATCTTATATGCAAGTAAATACGGTAATATTATTATTATTATACCGTGTTTCCCCGAAAATAAGACATCCGCAGAAAATAAGACCTAGCACAGATTTTGCTGAATTGCGAAATATAAGACCTCCCCCTGAAAGTAAGACCTAGTGAAGTTTTTTTTTAGTCGTAACGGTCATCGACAGATGGTTGAAAGTACAGCCACTGATTGGTCAGCAGACAATTACGCCACACGGCATGATTTGCATAAGACTATGGCTTGGGAATCACAGATTTGCATAATGTTATCGCTGGTGATCGCTAATTGGTCGGTTGGGAATCACGCCACATCACATTTGCATAGTGCTACGGTTCAGTAAGCACTAATTGGTCATCGAGCTCGATGTGGACACTATAAAAAGGTTAAGTTGAATGTGTCGCAAGGTGTTCTCTCGAACCTGTTTAGCGTATTGTTCAACAATAAATGTGAATTCGTCTTCATGGAAATATAAGACATCCCCCTGAAAATAAGACCTAGTGCATTTTTTAGAGCAAAAATTAATATAAGACACTGTCTTATTTTCGGGGAAACACGGTACTTGATTGTGTCTATGTAAGTAATCTGTCTGTGCCAAGAGCTTGCAACCATAAGTGATGTGTTGTATAGTATCTGGCATGATGTGACATTTTCTGCATGTGTCATTTGTGAGTGTTGTATCTTTGAGTATGTGTTTTCTGTAGTTTTTAGTATTTATGACCTGATCCTGTATGGCAATCATGAATCCTTCCGTCTCCCCAAAGAGGCATCCCCGATCTAACCAGCTGTTTGACGCAGTTTTGTCAACAAAATCCTGGGCCAGGTCGTAAGGATGCCTGCCATGGAGA